CACACACACACACACACACACACACACACACACACACACACACACACACACACACACACACACAGGCCTGGACACACACATGTTTGTATGTGCATAGAAGGGTATCCTAAAACTAGTGATAGCCCTCAAGTGACCTGGAATAAGAATGAGAGGAGGCTTTTCACCGTTTTTTTTTCTCTCTCTCTTTTTTTTTTTTTTTTTACTATTTAAAATTTGTACTTGACTCTTCATCCATACCCCTTTGTACTGTTAAAATTTTTGTTAGTTCAATTTTTAGTTAAAAAAGTAAGATTTTCATGACTTAATAGCACCAAGCCTGTAAAGTGAAACTAGTTTGTCCTAAGACAAAATTAAATGAGATAAAATAGTATATATTTAAACCATTTTTTTTCCTTTGGATAGGGATTGAGAAGATCCTTCACACTCAAGACTTCATAGCTGCAGAATATATTTCAGAACTTCAGTCAACCTTTGTGAAACCATAGCTCTAGAACTCTCATTGGCTATGTATCCGTGACCCTGAAAACTTCACAATTTGTTTTCTCCCTCTCTTCTGTTCCCGTCTTCTTGTCCTAGTGTCTATCCTACTTTACCTTTACTACAGATTGCCTATTCAGATTTAACCTCTTAGCTTAGGGCAGAAGAATCCTCTTAGCTTAGGGGCAGTCCATTAATCAAGAGCAATCAACGTTTCCTGTTCATTTGCTTTCTTGTTAATTGAATCACCTAAGTCTCTTTTGGGAAGTTTCAACAATTTATGTTAATTTTTTAGATGATTAATAATCTTCAACTCTAGTATATTACTTAGTATTAGTCAAGAATGCTAGTTATCCACTGAATATGACAGTCATGACAGGTTCTAATAGGAAGTCAAAACTAATTGCTTATTGGATATATAAAAATATTATCTTAAAAACAAACTGGAAAACTGGAATATATAATTTATAATTTCATTCATAATGATGAAATGGGACTCATCCCGTAAGTTAAACTAAATCATAATTATATCCCACCTTATCCCCAAAATTAATTGTTTATTTAAGAAATTAAAAGGTAGGAAGGGAGTCTGTTACTTCTACAGATATTAGGTAAGCTTTACTTGAGAAGCAACTTGAAGTATTAGACATGATAGAAAATGCAAAATACATAATAAGAAATGTGTGGCCAATACATGTGTGTAAACACTCAAAATGTATTTTTCTGCATATTTCCTGTAGCAGCCTCCACCATCAAATAAGTATATCAAATTTCAGTTCATTAAGGTTTCAAGAAAGTAATTAAGTGAAGTAATGAAATTCCTCCATGATCCTTTGAGCACTTTCCTAGAATGTAATTGAGAGGTGTAACACTTTTATACCCATTTATGGTTTTCTGATTTGCAGGTGTAGCAAGTAACACTATCCAGCCTACTCCACAGACTATTCCAGCCATTGATCCTGCACTTTTCAATACAGTTTCCCAGGGTAAGTCAGCTGTTTTATGAGATATAGTGTTTCTGCTGTTTGGGGTGTTGTTTTGTACTTTTATCTTAGGAGTGCAGTGTATTTGAATGTCTAGGTAATTTGAAACACATTTCTTTGAATGCCTTTATTCACTAGCTTCTCCAGTAAACCAGGATTGTTTCTTATTATCAAAAATACCTAAATCCAAAGGCATTCTCTCTTTTTTTTAAATCTTTTCAACTTCTTTTTGTTTCCCCCACTTGGTGGTTCTGTTTGTTTAATTTGGTCATTCTTATTCAGAGTTTTCTTCATGTGTCTGCTGAGATTAGTCCTTTTATATTTAGAATGAAGATGTTGATTGATTATTTTCAGTAGATGTTATTGAATTTCCCCCGATACTATGTCTGCAGGTCTGTTTCCCACTTGATTTTTCTGTTCTCCCCTGTGAGTGGGAACAGGCCATTCAGCTTCCTCCTGCATCTCAGCCATGGATGAGGACATCTTTTCTTGGAGAGGGATGGCAAAGGGTGTACCACACATACCTTGTCCGTCCTAGCTCTGTCCAGGAAGTTAATTCCACAATTTTAGACATTCTCTATCTTTTTTGCCTAGGGTCTCATGTGAGAGATGGGAAGCCATTAAGGCTGAGGGTGTACAGGCATGCAGAGGTTGATAGAGGGGGGAGGGATGTGAAACTAGTGCAGATAATTGTTTTAGACTGACTCATTAAAGATCCCCCCAGTCCCACTCCTCATACAGCTAGACCCTCTCTGAAGTTTCTCTGGATAGGCTCCCCAGTTGCCTCCTATATTACATGTTCTGAGTTGGGATTTTTTTTTGACACAGTTTTATCTAACAGCATACCTTCACTTAATTTCTACTTTTCTAGAAGTTTCTTTAAATCTCTTGTCAACTATCCTTTCAGTTTTTACACTCTTTTCTCTTCTCTACTTTTCCTTCAGTTTTAGAATTTTATTTCCTTTTGTTTTACCTTATCATTTTTAATATAGTTTCAGAAGGAAAAATAGTCAATTATGTATGCTTAGTCTACCATCTAGAACTAGAACCCTGGAATTCTTTACCCAACCAAACTGTCAGGTATGAAGGCAAAATAAATATTATTAAATATGTAAGGATTCTGAAGTTTCGCCTACCATACACCATTTCTAAGGAAGTTATCAGAAGAAGTCACTCCATCAAGAAAAGAATGATAACCAAGAAAAGAAATATAGATACAAGAAATGGTGAAATTAATCTTAGGTCACCTAAAGAAAAACTCCATTGACAGCTTTTCCATAGGCTTGAAAAGCAATTGTTCTAAAATTAGAACAGAAAATCAGAGCTCCCCTCCTTTAAGAAAACTCAAGCAGATTCTATGCAATACATAGAATAAGAAACTGTAGAATGGGAAAGAAATGGATAAGAAGCTGTAGAATTCCTTTCCCAAGAAGAACGAAAAGATCCAAGAAAACATTTTAAATCGTACAAGTAGTTTCAAGTAAGAAGCAAACTGAAATATGCCATGATTTTGAGCAATAATAGAATTATGAAATATAAGAAAAGGGATTTTGTTTGACTTGGACACAAAGAACATTCTCCTTGCAATGGCATAGGCTTATCACAAACAGAATACTTTATTCAGGGCAGAATATAAATCATCACTGACAAGTGAAGGTAGAGAGATATTTCTGGAAGTTGAAAGGTGGAATAAAAGAAAGCTGTTATTAGGATGAGTGTCCAGAAGTGAAATGTTGTGATTTTTTTCTAGAGTTGATGGGATGAGAAATAGAAGACAAAAGTAAGCAACTAAGAAATTTAAAAGCACTAATAAATTTAGAAGGAGACAGGGCAGGAGAGGAGGATAGTGAGATAAATTCTTTACCTTTCATAGCAGAGTGTCAGTAGATAAAGCCTAAAAACTGATAAATCAAGAAATGGTGGTATAAGCTTATCAACTGGGGTTAGGGAAGTAACCTAGAGAAAACAAAAAATAGAAATAATTCAAAAGTGAAGTGGGCAGAGGCAAGGTAGATGACTTATTTAAGTGTATGAGTTATGTTAAGTTTATTCTACTTTTCCTCGTTTTACTAAAAGCAGATAAGTTATAAAACCTAAAATCAAGAGCTGCAATGGCCTTTGAATCCTGAAAGGCCTAGTTTAAGAGTATGTGTATGGGGCTTCCCTGGTGGCACAGTGGTTGAGAGTCCGCCTGCTGATGCAGAGGATACGGGTTTGTGCCCCGGTCCAGGAAGATCCCACATGCCATGGAGCGGCTAGGCCCATGAGCCATGGCCGCTGAGCCTGTGCATCCGGAGCCTGTGCTCCGCAATGGGAGAGGCCACAGCAGTGAGAGGCCCGCATACCGCAAAAAAAAAGAGTATGTGTATGTTTCATGGGGGAACATAGTGCTAAGGTAAGAAGAGTAAAGAAACTATAATAAACTAGCAAATTACCCAAGAACAAAGTGGAAAATGTCTATTAGTAGACAGATAACCTGCCCAGTAAATACTATATTCCTCTGTTAAACTTGTTTTCCAGATTCCTCTCTACAGTCCCATGTACCTGTAAAAGCTCTCCCTAAAATATGATGTGAAAATATCAGAAGCAGACTAGACAGAACAGTGAAACAGAATAACGAATCCAGAAATCAAGCCACACAGTATGGGAATTAAAATAATGACAAAAGTGGCATTTGGAACAGTGTGGCAAGAAAAAACATCAAAACTGATGTTAGAAAAAATATATATTAGATACTGTCCCCCAATTCCTGTATCTCATTTGGTTGTATCTTAACAGGTTGGACTAATGAAAAGTAATAAATTGCATACAGCAAAAGATTTCCTCTCCCCATTATATTGTTAAAATGCAACAAATAGACCAGGAGGAAATCAATACTTAAAAGAATAAAGAATTACTGTTCAGAGCATATATAAAGAGTTCCTGCAAATAAATAAATAAAACTTAATAGGAAAAAAATCCAGAGAAATAAACATAGGGAATGATTTGTATGCTGTTGGTGGGAATATAAATTGGTGAAGCCTTCTTCAGTAGCATTCTGTCACTGTCAGAATTGCAAATATTTTTTTGACTCAGCTATTCCACTTTTGGGAAACTATCTTAGAGAAATATTTAGACATGAGCACAAAATGTATTTACGAGGATATTTTATTTCAGCATCACTTGTATTAGTAGAAAACAATTTTAAATGTCTATTAATGAGAAATTATGGTCCATCTGTCCTACGGAATACTGTGCACACATTAAAAAAGGTTAGGGCTTCCCTGGTGGCGCAGTGGTTAAGAGTCCGCCTGCCGATGCAGGGGACGCAGGTTCGTGCCCCGGTCTGGGAGGATCCCACATGCCGCGGAGCGGCTGGGCCCGTGAGCCATGGCCGCTGAGCCTGCGCGTCCAGAGCCTGTGCTCCGCAATGGGAGAGGCCACAACAGTGAGAGGCCCGCATACCACAAAAAAAAAAAAAAAAAAAAAAAAAGGTTAAATACTTTTATAGTGAATTTGTGGCTCACTCTGAAGAGGAGAATGGAATTGGGAAGGTAGGTATTTGAAGTTCAGTATTTACTTTTTTAACTTGTATATACCTGATAGTATTAGAGTGCGAATAACAACTTACTTCTTAAAGGTTTTTTAAAAATTAAATGGAATATATGAAAAATATTTAGCATGGTTCGTGACATAATAATATTCTGCCTCTAATCATTACTGTTGCTGTTGCCATTATTAAATGATGTGTCCTTGCGATGCCTGGATTTAAGGGATCAGTACTATACTTTATATTTACCTCCAAGATTTACTTCAGGGAATCAGATGATTCCCATATGATTTTGCCTGTGCTTTCCATTCAAGTCAGAGGATAATTGAGTACACTAGGATCAGATTATCCAAGGTCCTTCACATGAATTTCTAGTTAAGTAGGAAAAAATCTCTAAAGACCCATTTCAGAAATATTTACAATTAAGTATTCTATCTTCTGTCAAGGTTAGATAAATCAACCTTGGAAATAGATGCTTCTAGCAACTGAGCATGCAGGGATTTCTCTTTATACCAAATAATGTTACCTTTGATCCAATGCTGACCCAGGCTCTTTCCCCCGGAATAGAGAACTTAACTGATGGCTCTACCTCTCCTCTGCCCGGTTCTTGTCCTGCCCTATGAAGGGGAGAAGCAGCTCTGTGATAAAGACAGTCTTCTTGAAGGCATCTGGAACTTATAAGCACAGATTTCAAAAAAGATATTATATTAAATTAGACAACTTCTCTAATTCTTTTTTTTTTTTTTTTTAACAGTTGGATTAGCTGTATGTGATCTTTTTTTTTTTTTTTTTCCAAGGGGGAAGTCTGTTTTTTTTCTTTTTTTTTTTTTTTTTCCAAGGGGGAAGTCTGTTTTTTTTCTTTTTTTTTTTTTTTTTCCAAGGGGGAAGTCTGTTTTTTTTCTTTTTTTTTTTTTTTTTCCAAGGGGGAAGTCTGTTTTTTTTCTTTTTTTTTTTTTTTTTCCAAGGGGGAAGTCTGTTTTTTTTCTTTTTTTTTTTTTTTTTCCAAGGGGGAAGTCTGTTTTTTTTCTTTTTTTTTTTTTTTTTCCAAGGGGGAAGTCTGTTTTTTTTCTTTTTTTTTTTTTTTTTCCAAGGGGGAAGTCTGTTTTTTTTCTTTTTTTTTTTTTTTTTCCAAGGGGGAAGTCTGTTTTTTTTCTTTTTTTTTTTTTTTTTCCAAGGGGGAAGTCTGTTTTTTTTCTTTTTTTTTTTTTTTTTAACAGTTGGATTAGCTGTTTGTGATTTTTTTTTTTTTTTTTTTTTTTTTCTTTAAACACCTTTTAGGTCCACAGTATGCTCTCTCTGGTACTGATTATGGCTTCTGGTAAATTTTAATGATAGAAAAAAAAACAGCTTTCATTTAGGTGCATTAAGTAATAGTTACTATTTTGAATATAAAATCAGATAAACTGAAATTGAACAGTTGTTCTCTTCCTGAAATGTGTTTTCCTTTGTTATGTCTTTTTTACTTTCTCTATTTAGTTTTTAAATGCTAATTTAAAAGAGTCCTAACTAGGAAGCAGATTTTATTTTTATTTAATATAAAATTTTAATTCATGTGTTTTATTATTAATGACTTATAGATAATATTTTTAAAGGCAGTAAAGCTTGAAATATTACAAAATAGCAAAAGTAACTATTTGACATGGCTTTTTAAGTTCTTTATATAGTTATATATATATTATGCATTTATATAGAATATTTTTATATATTCTACATAAATATTTACTTTTAAATATATATTGGTAAAAATAAATCTTAACATCTATGTAAATCTGTAAATTATATTTTGCATCTAAATCTAAGTTGGTTCTTATCTAGTTATTACATTTTATAAGATAGTTACATAATTTGTCATACATGCTGTAAGCTATATATTATGTATCTGTAATTATAGTTTTCTAAGATATTCATTTTATAAATATTGAAATTGTTATTCCATTAAAAAACGCAATATTTGTGTTTTTAAATAGTTTTATCACTAGTAGATAAGTTTAGTTTATAAAAACTAAAATAGTAACGGAGTTCTTACTACTATACACATTTTTATCTTATTAATAAATAAGTGATATGTCAGCAAAACAATGTTAAAGCTGATGCTGTAAAAAATAAAATGAGTCCTGAGCATTAGGGCTTTCCTCCAGCAAGACCAGTAAATTCTGGATAGATGTCTTACATATTTAAACATTGCCTGGAATAGAAGAATAGACTATTAAAGCACAAAATGAGTAGTATTAAGGTAAACTTAATTTTCATAGATGTCTCACTCACCTAGATAATATGTCTCACTCACCTAGATAATAGTATACATCTAGGTGACTAGAGCCTCTCAGTATACTTTGAAAAAACATTGATGAATCTTTCAGTAAAAAAAATAAGAAGTGTGCCTGACTAAATTGTCAAAAGAACTGCAGGACAGTTGTTTTTAGGTTTAATGGGTAACAAATGCCAAGTCACTAAAATACTAAAAATAGAACTGTGGAGAAACTGTTTTTTGTTTTTTAAATATGTAATTACATTTTACTAGTTTATTCATTTGTATTTCTTACGTTTAGGCAAGACCAGAATTCAGGGAAATTAAAATAAGTTCTGTTAAAATTGGAATGTGTAATCTCTGATTCACAACAGTAAGGACCAATTCTTAATATAAGCTTTAATAATATTAATTCAACAAATATTTGAAGGCTTTGTATGTGTAACACACTGGGCTAGTTACTATATATAGATGTATAAGTGCATTATCTTAAAATATGAAATTTAATTAATGTTTAATTCTATGTGAACTTTTATTCCTTTTAAAATGTGGGAAAGAATTTAAAGTACAGACAGCTTTTTTATATTCCTTTGTTGAAGTTATTCAGCACTTATACTGGGCTAGAAACTTTAGGATACATTGTTTCAGTATTCTTTTTTGAAAATTTTTAGAAAATAATAATTTGGATAAGAATTTAGTATCAGAGTACCTGGAATTGCTAAATACTTTGAAGTCCTTGCCTAGGGAATGTCAAAGTTTTCATTTAGTGCTGTACTATCTGGCAAAATTAAAAGCAACTAAAAAAAGTAATTATATTAATAACTACAAGCTTATAAACAGGATCAAAATATATGTTCATTTAGAAACATAATCGAAATATATTATCTTTTCGTTATATTGTATGCCCCCAGCCTTCTGACCAGTTCTCCTTAGAATCCTCATAAAAATTTCTAAAGAAAATTGTATTTATTTCCAAAGGTAAGACACAAAGTCAGTTTTAATTTCACCTTTAGAAATATATATTCAAGTATATTCAAATCTTAGATTAAATGAAATGTTTTCAGTGTGTTTTTTTTACCCAAATTATTTAGTTGAGCTCATCCATATCAATCATAGTGTAACTAGAAAACTTGCTAGAAAAAATGTTGGACAAATAATTGGTAAGGGTTGTTTACATGTTTAAAAATTGTGTAGTGTAATGATATATCTTAGTTAAACCTTAGAGTTTTGTATAGGGACAGCACGAAAATGCAAACTATTTTCTTGCTTAAAAAAAGTTAGATGACTTATGTAATTTTTTAACATAAAGGTTGTTATTTAATTTTTTTTGAGTTATATTTATATTCTAGTTCAAATGAGGGTTGAATGGTTTAGTCTGTGTGTATTTATTGTTCCATGAAGAGAGTCTCAGCAATTCTAACATACACACCAAAGCAATTTTCCTTGTTTTATACAGAATATAATTTTTTTTGCAGTTAATTTGCCAAAATATAAAGGCTTCCAGTTTATGACTTCTGGTAGGAAAATCTTGCTCATATAAGTTGTTATGTATTGACCTCTGTATGGTTTATATTAGTAATTTAAAATTTTAAAAGCATAAAGAAACTATTCAAATGCAACTGGGGATTGGGGAAAACAACTTTCAGGTTTTAATATAACCTTAAACATTTTCTGTAACCTTGAATATAAGCATTTACCTAGCCTAAAAGAACGCTTCCTATATTCCTTATAAATATCTTAATTACTCTGTATTTCTCTTAGGAGATATCCGACTAACACCAGAGGACTTTGCTAGAGCTCAGAAATACTGCAAATATGCTGGCAGTGCTTTGCAGTATGAAGATGTCAGTACTGCAGTGCAGAATCTACAGAAGGCCCTCAAGTTACTGACTACAGGCAGAGAATGAAGCCTTTGTACGACATCCATGCATTTTTGGCTTAAAGAACTAACAGTCCACTACTCTATCTTCAGCCTATCAGGAGCATATTTTAAGGAAGACTTCAGTTCCATTGACTGTAACAATGGAATCTGTGTCTGTGTATCAGATTCCTGTTGAAGCATTCATCAGCAGCCTCAACCAGTTTTCATTGTCCATTTAGTGGATTCAGTAGTCTCTGGGTGTATAGGGCTGATGTGAGCAAGGTCCTAAAAATGCCCATTTGAACCCTGCTTGTTCAAAAAATGAGAACACACTTCTATAAAATGTATTGGGAATTAGCTTTGTATCTTAATCTACGTAAATTAAGGAATTTTTTTAATCTATAATTTGGACAAACAGACCATATTACTTTGCTATAAAATTCTAAATTTAACTTTTAATAAAGATTGCCAGAATATTCTAGAAATGTGTTGTTTTCCTCAGGACTTCTGAAACAGATACGAACATCCTAAACTGTTAGTTGAATCTGAAAGAGATTATGTTCAAATTTAAATTTATATTCATATTAAATATAGCTACATTAAAAGTTAAAATGTTCATGGAAGGAAATGTAATAAGGTAAAGAGGTAGAATCAGTTTTAGACGTAAGAGTAATGTTGGTTGCTCAGCTGTTTTCCCTTATTCATTGACGCTTAAGGTGAATTGGTATTTGCTTCCTAGGCAGTTTGACTGCATGTGTTAGAGAATGAAAACAAGACATTTGTAATAATGCCTGGAAACTTGGTGCTTTGAGTTAAGGTTCTCCTCTGCTGCTATGGAATGGATTCCATAGAGTGAATAGTTATGAATGATGCAGAAGATTATAAAAACATAGACTCTCAGTTGTTAAGTTTATAAGTTATGTGGGAATTATGGACTTCCTATGTCACCTGCATTTGTGCTGTTTAAAAAATAAATACAAGGATTCTTTTAACTAATTCTGTTTATCACAGAGCCAAATGTCTGTTTTGCCTGCTAAAATTGTCACTTTTCTAAAGTCATTATTTTTAGTTATAAGAATATAAAGAGAGAGAAATTTGGCAGATTTACCTGAAATTATCTGGTCCATTTCACTCATTCCACTAATATTGGGAATCTTTTAACATAGGGGTCAGCAAACTATGGTCCATGGGCTGGCCATTTGTGTAAATAAAGTTTTATTGAAACCAAATAATAGCCATTTATTTATATTTTGTGTTTGGTTGCTTTCCACAATGGCAGAATTATATGGCCTGTAAGTCTAAAATATGTACTACTTGGCCCTTTAAGGCAAAGTTTGCTGACGCCTGTTCTGACAGTCTGTTTGAAAGAAAATGAATCATTATCTCATAATCTCTTATGTCTTTCTATTTTTCTTTGCATAAGTATAATGTTATTTATATAGAGTTTGATAGAATGAATATTGACAGGATAAACTGTTCTAAATTATTGCAAAAACAAGCCCCCCAAAAACATGCCTCCTGAAAAACATTTTCATATCTTTCACAGCTGAATTCTTGAAACATTTGCAGGGTTCAACATTTGCATCTGGAATTCCAGGACTCTGATATAGTTCTATTGAAGTTTATTGAAATAGAAAAATGACTAGGGTGATATTTCATGTTATAAAAGATGAATGTAAAATACAGTTCAGCAAATTTTAATTCAAATCCTAACATGTCTGGCCACTAGGAAGAAAACTGTCACCTCTCATTTCACACCCTACCTGTTGCTCCCAGTTGGGAGAGCACATGGAGGGGAGAAGATGCTGTGGAAACCACGGAGTCCACTGAGAAGTGAGCTGTGATGTAGCAGAAATCCCAGTTGTTTTGTGGCCCATTACTTTAAAATGCTTTCTTGCATGAAGGGATTGAACTATAAAGATTTTTTAGCTTTGTACTTCTGCATATAAAATCTGACAGGAGAAAGTTAGAAATTTTCTGATGTAACACTAGTTTTCATTTGGTCAGTCAACATGTATTTATTGAGCAGCTACTATGTGCCTGGTATTGTCCTTTGCATGAGGAAACAGCAGAAAACAAGAAAAAAAAAATCCCTGCCTCATAGAGTTTTATTCTAATGGGGAGGAAACGGACAAACTTAATAAAAAGTATATCATATATTCTATTCAGCCAGTGGTTTTGGACATGTAATTGTTAGAAATGTAAATCTCAGACCCTACCCCAGTCCTACCCAATCAGAAATTCCAAGGGTGGGGCCCAGCCTTCTGAGTTTTAAGAAACACTTTGCAAAACACTTCTTGTAATCTGGTGGTCCCTCAAGTCTGAGTGGTTTAGCCCTACTCCCGTCGGAAAGATTGAGAGTCTGGGAGGAAGATTCACTTGAAGTGTGCCTGGACGCCCAGCATCAGTGTCACGTGGGATGGGAATCACACTTCAGGAACTTCTGTATTAGACAGTGATAAATGCTCTGGAGAAAACCACAGTATGGGATAGGAAATGCTTGGGTGTGTGTGGGCCTGTGCACGTTTAAATAGGATGGGATAAGCCTCACTGAGGTGACAGTTGAGTGAAAAGGGAAAGGGAGGGAGGGTATTCATGGCAGAGGGAGGTCAACAGAGGAGGGAAGAGGGGATAAGTGAGGAAGGCTGGTGAAGGAGCGAGAAGCTCAGGATTACACAGGCTTTTTGTAAAACACTTAGCTTTTCCTCTGAGCAAGATAGGGAGCCACTCAAAGGTTTTGAACAAAAGAGTAGCCACAACTTTTAAAAGGATCATAGTGGCTACTGTGTTGAGACAAGACCGTAAGGTGGGCAAGGGTGGAAGCTAGGAGAGGAGTTAAAAAGAGTATTGCAACAATTCAAGGTGCAATGTTATGATGGCTTAGATCAGGAGTAGAAGTGGAGGTTATATAGTGTAATGGGTTTCTGTAGAGCCACAGTATTTCTGATAAACCGGATCTGAGGTATAAGCGTAGAAGGAGTGAAGGTTGACTCCCCAAATTTAACTTGAACGCTTGGAAGGAGCAAGTAGTCATTAATTGCAGTGGGGAAAGTCGCGGAATTCTGCTGACATTTAGGCTGAAGTACAGTGTTCCCAAGTTCTTGTGAGCATCCCAGTAAAACTATTTGATAATATTGTTTTGTCAATACAGACAGAGGACGAAGAAGAAAAGATAAGTTCTGTCTACAGTGATTGTCACAGACATCTCACCAAATCACTGCTGAACTGGACCTAGAAGCCAAGAACGGTTCCCAAGGTTATGGTCAAGGAAGTTTGCAGGCTTCAAGATGACACCCATGAAAAAGACGCCAGTTACAGGTCTTGAAAATTAACATCCTAGTATTCATAGAATTTATTTATATATAACTTGTACTTCTAGAAATGTGGTGTCACTGTGTATGGGTTAAGAAATGGTTATATACTGTCCTTTCTAAAGAAACTTAAATCCTAATAGCATTGTTACAATTATCTTCAACTTGAAAACAACAATAACTGACTCAGGGCTGAATGTTTTTGGTGACCTGCACGGCTTTCTCTACCCATCCCCATTTTTTTTTTAACTTTACTCATTTTATGTTCCAAAGCAGTTGGACCAGATCATCTAGTTGGGACAGTACATAGACCTCCACCAGTAGAAAAGTTCTATTTTCAAGAGATCACAGAATTTTAAGGCATCCCTCATATGGAAGTATGCTCACCTGGTTGGTTGTAATCTTTGATGTCCATGTGGGATTTTGAGACTAAAAGCTCATTTAATGGAGTATACTTAAGTAGGACTAATTTCCACTAAGTGATACTTTAATAATAGTAAATATAATAACTAACATTTGAGTGTTTACTAAATGTCAGGCACTATTCTGAGTATTTTACATGTATTCATTTAATCTTGCCAGCGATCCTGAGAGGTGGGTCCTACCATTGGTCCCTGTTTACAGATGAGACAACCACAGGGTAATAAATTTGCCTGAGGCTACACAGCTAATACTGAAATTTTCTAAGCTCAGGCTGCCTATTTCAGGCAATAATATTATCATCCATGTACATAAAGGATCAGTTAAATTATTATGAGAAAAGTGAGATGTTATCAAGGTCACTGGACAATTCCTTTTATTAGTGGGACGTGTAGCAACTAGATTTTTTTGTTATCTGGACAATATGTTCCAATCAACTGTGGGTGCTAGGCAGTGAATACAGGGCATGATCACACACACTGGAGCCATGGCCTGATAGCAAATGGAGTTTGTGTCCGGAGAGAAAATAGGCAGATTTGAATGACTGGTGGAATGGATTAATATGTCATCTAGAGGGAGTTCCACATCACTAGGGGGAGTCCTGGGTTTCCCAGACACACCTGTTTTTTTCTCTTTATTTTAAACAACATAACTATTTTTCCTAATTACATAGCTATCACAAGACTTCAAAATAACAATGTTTATAATTAGTTATTTCTTTAAATTAAATTTTTGCCCAGAAGTATGAGACAAGAACACCTATCCCTTACTTCAGATATCCCTTAAAATTGCAGGGAAAAGAAATGATTGCATAACAATAATCCATGAATATAACTTCCTGGAGAACTATCTTCATAGTGAGCAATATTGGGAGATTTTGTAAAAATGTTAGTATCACCCATTTGTTGAAAAATATGAATATGTATTGAGCGTCTACCATAAATTAAAGTTTAACGTGATAGTGCTGTACCGTATGAGAGGTTATGTATGAGACACAGTCATTCTTCCTGCAGAAAGTCAGGGAAGGCCTGGGAAAAGAGATTGACCTGCAGGTTTGCCAGACAGAGAAGCAGGGAGAACTTAGCAAAAATAAAACGTGATCAAAAACATGGAGAAAAACATGTTAGAAATTCAGGGAATTTGAGGAATTTAGTGTTGCTATGGCAGATGGCTTATCAAGACCAAGAATTATAAATGTGAGATTGCATACGTGGGAAGATGTTATGGACTAAATAGTCTCCCCCCGAAACTTCACAGGTTGAAGCCCTACCTCCCAATGTGACTGTATTTGGATATAGGGCCTTTGGGGAGGTAATTAAGGTTAAATGAGGTCATAAGGGTGGGACCCTAAGTCCATAGGGCTGGTGTTATTGGAAATAAGAGACGCCAGAGTTCTCTCCATGGTCACGCAAGGGCACAATGAGAAGGCAGCCACCTACAAGCCAGAAAAAATGAACTCACCAGAACCCCACCCTGATGGCACCTTGATCTTGGACTTCCAACCTAAATTTCTCACAGTTTAAGGCTTTGATCGCCTCAGATATGCTCCTAACATATTGGTTGCTTGCTTTATATTGGTAAACCATCAAGTTGGTTTTGTCTTTTTGACCCCTCAGCTGTGTTATTTGTGTTGTGATACAGGAGCCATTCAAAGTCCCTTGAGAAGGAAGAAGAATTTAGATTTGTCTATTGTGTTGTGCTTTTATACTTTTTTTTTTTTTTTTTTTTTGGCTGCGTTGGGTCTTCGTTGCTGCCTGCGGGCTTTCTCTAGTTGCAGCGAACAGGGTCTACTCTTCGTTGTGGTGCACGGGCTTCTCATTGCGGTGGCTTCTCTTGTTGCGGAACACGGGCTCTAGGACGCACAGGCTTCAGTAGTTGCAGCACACCGACCCTAGAGCACATGCTCAGTAGTTGTGGCACACGGGCTTAGTTGCTCCGTGGCATGTGGGAACTTCCTGGACCAGGGATCGAACCCGTGTTCCCTAAATTGGCAGGTGGATTCTTAACCACTGCACCACCAAGGAAGTCCCTATACTTTTTTATATAAAACTAATAATACCCCTCTAACAACCATAACTTGGCAAAATTACTATTTACATCTTCACCTTATATATCATGTAAGTTAAATATATATATATTTTTTTTCCCTTCATTAGATCATTAGATGCTAAGTATGGTAAGAGCTATTTATACATCTGTGAATCCCTAGTATTTCACATGATGTCTGTTACGTATTAAGTATCCCTAACTGGCAAAATTAATAGATGA